TTTATTCCTGTTGGTGCTTTTGCAGATGCTACTCGATAGTATAGCCTGGGCGCATTGGGTAAGCTCATTCGAGCTTTCTCATACAAAGCCAGTTTCCATTTTTCTCGACAAATTTTCTTTTTCCACATTCGTATATACGTATTTATTCTAATTAGATACGAGCCTTTTTTTCTTTGCAGGTACCTTACGCATCGGCATTCTTGGGCCTCTTCCTTTTCCTAGCGACGCCTAGTGTGAGTTGCATATGATAGTTACATACATTAAACATTTCGACTAAGCTGATTATTTAGCTTCTGACCGAACAAAAAAATTCCTTTTTTTTTCGGAAATTTACAGATTAGATGCATTATTTCGAAACAAGTAGGACCCTATGAACAGGTAATTAAACACAAATATATATATACAGTTCCCACATTTTCAAATTTAAAACTTTGTTATTCAAAACTTTTTGTGTGACACGACATATTTACATCAAATGGCGCGTGTTTTCGTCAGGGGATTGCTCAAGGATGTCTCATGGCCATAGCCTCGTTTGCTAACGTTATTTCCCCATTAATATATAGTCCACTTTCAGGTAACTAAATCGAATTTCGATGCGCAGTATAAATATATTAATGAAATGCTTTCGGTATCAAACTTATAATTACCGTGTCAAAATTTTCGCAGCTCTGTTTCTGTCGGATGGAGCTCCGTTTAATTTCCCCGGTTTCAGCATTCTTTGTGTGGGGCTTGCTTGGGTAAGAAGAATATGACATTGATATTATCATCATCTTACAAAATTTTCCAAAGTAGATAGTTAGCTAATCAAGATTTTACTAATATGTTGTGTTTTTGCAGTTCATAGGTTTTATTCTTAGTACAATGATAAAAATACATCCATACATGTCGAGAGCAAGGAACGAGCCGTGTTTATTGGCCTAAAAGGTTTTTTCAGACACGAAGAAGACAGACCGCAGCCTCGATTTGTGGCCTGAAGATTCGTTTTTTTCGCTAAAAGTCAAAATTTTTACGAAGAAAAACGAAACATGCAGCAGTTTTTGATGGCTTCAGGGGCCTGCTATATATATGTGTGTGTTTTTTAACATGTTTTAAGAGTATTGTTGTAATTCATTGGTAATTGTATATATATAATATTAATCTCAGAAAACTAAGAAATAGTTCGTTTCATATGATATTTAATTTTTTTCTGATTTTTTACTGATTGATTTCCAGTTTTCTGCAGTTCTTGTCTGTGTTAATTGATGGTTTGTTTTCTTCTGTTGTCCTGTGTTAGATTAGATTACTTGAATGAAAAGAAGGAAAATAATTAAAATGAATTTTTAAAAAAAGATACAATAAATTACAGTGTCGGCCAACTGCTTTTAGGGACCACCTATTAAAAAAAAGGAACAATTACAATTATGGAAAATGTTATGGTCTCGTTACGAGATTGTAACCATTAGATCAACTGACAATTATATTTATACTATTAAAAATATAAGCATGTTTGCAAAAATAAATTGTAAAAGTACAGCGAAATGAGGACTACAAGTGAAATTAAACCACTATTTTCATCCCAAAATGAAAATGTGAGTTAAAGCTTATTGAATCATTAATTCAAAACATAACAAATTTATTCCACCCTATTTACGTTGACCGTTGTGTCATATTATCCAAGCAAATACTATCTAGACAAATTTAGTTTATTTGTGATTCACTATCCTTGTTCATGTTCTTCTCACCATCCTCTCACCAATTTCCATGTTCAAACATGCACCCAAAAGATGAAGCTACCATAGAAAGAGGACACAATTATAATTTGCATTAAGAAGATTTCAAAACACGGTCACCCCGGATCAGTACAAAACTAACACAGCCTTATTCGCCAACTTTGTACACAGACCAAAACACGGTCCTAAGATTAACCCAAACATGACCGTTTCACCACTAACAGCATACACTAATCTCCACCATCACCTTCATTGGACGACCCATCGTTATTGGCCTCAAATTGTAGAAGCTCCAAAACTCATTCCCATATGAAAACCGTGCCCAATGTTTGACGGGTATACACGTGGAGAAACCATCCAATGCATCCAAACCCTTTGTGTAGAAGGCCTCGTCTGGATAAACACACACAAAGAGAAGATTTGCAAAAAGAAAATCACTCACCGTCCGAATCATCTTCATAATCATCATCATCATTCCCACATTCACAATAATTATCGACATCATCACATATATCAGCGAATGAATCGTCATCCTCGGAATCACCACCCTCCTCCAATAGGCTCATCTCTTCAAACTCGTTGTCACAGAAGTTCTCCGAACCGAAATTCTCGTCATCATCCGCATCCCCAAAGACAGTCGAATCAGAATTTTCATTATTATCGTTATCAGAATTATTTTCCTCACCTTCTTCCTCCTCTACGCGGTATCCATCCGAGATGTGATCATCATTGTTGTGGTTATTACCTTCACCACCATTGCTGCTGTCATCCTCGTCATCATCGTCGCTGTCATCATCGTCATCATCATCATCTTCGTCGTCCTGGGAATAAATGAAGTCATCATCGGTGTTGATGAAGTCATCATCATCATCATCGTCGTCGTAAAAGACACCAAACGGGAAGAAACCGATTCGTCGATTTAGTGAACTGAGGACTCTATCCTAATAATTAGAGAGAGGGGAGAATTAGATTTTCCTTCATTTTCCCAAGGAGTGTCTACAGGAATGTTATGTTTGTTATCCAAATAATATCATTTTAAACAGAGTCTAAGGAATGCAGGGGGAGTAGCCCAATATCAGAGAAGCAGATGATAGTAGTACCTATGTTGAGAGTTGAGTTCAGATATCATGTATGTTCTAAGAGAAGTTAATCTCAGCCATTTACATGTCATTGTAGAGGAATGTTCAATCGAAAATAGATGAAATATTGACCTATCTCAAGACATTTTACTTTTATAAAAGACAGAAAACAATTTCAACGACAGTGGTTAACAGCTTAAAGCTATATTTTTGGCAAGATTCTGAATTAAACCTTAACACAGCTTCCCAGCACCAGTAAAATGTTGGTTGACTAAGACAGTTAGATGAGTTATGGCTTTTAAAACCTTCTGACATAATTGTGAAACTGAGCAAAACGAACTAAAGTGACCGAGGATACCATCCCAAAACCTCAAAATGGCATTCTAAGTAAAGATATATAAACTTTATGTATTCGTTATGTTAGATTCCATCACCCAGGCATTAATTAGGAAAATATGATGACTGATGGCCTACATTCAAAACAATTACATACCTTTTGAATGTTAGTTGGCAAAATGGCTCTCTCTATAGCTTTCGGGATCCAGATTTTTATGTCATGCTCCAGTCCACTGCTAGCAAGCACCGTAGCATGAGGATGGGCCTCGATGCAATTCACTATATGATTATCAGCTTCCATAACACGAACGAGCTCTCCGCCCTTTTTCTTCCAAATGAAAATCCGACCACAATCTGACCCACTCACGACATACTCACACCTCGGACCGAAGAAACCAACGCCCTTCACAGTCTCACAGTTCCTGTGCCCTTTGTAGGCCTGAGGAGCATCTGTTAGATCTTCTAGAACCCGTGAAGGAGACTTGTTATAAGGAGACAAAGGACATGGATCATTATCATCATATAAAGAGGGCTGAGGTCTAAACCCCATATCCTTTGTGAAGAGATAGATAAACTCATCATTGTAGGACAAAAGAAGCTCGCTTTGCTCGGAGAATGCCAGCCCTGTTATGCCAACACTCTCATCTTTGACGAGATGCATGGGGCAAAAGAATTCAACAGGACGGCCAAATTCGGATGACCCATCCCACTTGTATTTACGGATGTCAAAAAGCCGAGCAAATTGATCTGCTCCGCCGACAGCAAATAAGTTTGGGTTTCTTGGATCTATAGTGATTGCATTTAGATGAACACAAGAGAAATAACTCTGGCTCGGCACAGGTTTGCAGGTGAAAAGGCTGGTGGCACTTCCAGTTCTCAGATCAATCTGAAATGTTTTATGGTCACACGGTTAGGATCATAAACAGATCAAAAGATATAGATCAACTGATTAATGAAAATTGAAGTATATGAATTATGAAAGATGAAAGTGGAAGTTATTCAGAGTCCGAAATGCTGGCTATTTGTATTGATAAATGGGTTTGGGAAGAACACATCCCCAAAAGCTACGTCAAAGGGAGAGGGTTCCCAACCCACAGTTATACACAATAACAACCCAGTAACTAATCGATGTGGGACAAACATAACTTCCAGCATGTATCTTCCTAATTATGTATATTTTTCTACATTCATTGGTGGGAGACTACATCTCCTCTGCCTTTATAACATTTATAATAATAGACATCCATTGGGGCCCCTTTTTTGCTCTCTGGATGAAGGACTGGATACAGAAAGAAGTAAAAAGCTCACATGTTGAACCAATCCATCCTCCCCACAGCTATAAAATATATGAGGGCTTCCAGGTTCAATGGCTAGTTTGTGCGCCCTTCCCTGATGTTGAGTCAGCAAGTTAGTCACTGCTCCACATTCGCGAATCTGAGCATGTCTGACCTGAACGAAAAGCCTCACGTGTAAGAAACATCACTATAATCTGAATCTTTCGATAGACTAGTTTGCAGAGGCTATCACACTTACCCAGAAATTCTTTCATGTAGAAAGCATTAAACACGCTCGATTGGGAATACCAAAATAGAACAAATCTTCTCTGACACACACACACACACACACACACACACACAGAGAAAGAGAGAGAGAGAGAGAGAGAGAGAGAGAACAGAAATAACGACTCACCTGTCCATCAGCTGCACAAGTAACAATGCTTCTATCCTCAGTGTAAGGCATGAACTTGGCTTGGAAAACATTGTTATCATGACCGGAAAAGAAAGAAAGTTTAACTCGACCAGTTTCCCAATCCCAGAGAATGACCCTCCTATCGTCAGAACCCGATATAAGAATATCACCGGTATCATTAAAGCCAACAGTGTTCACGCAACCATGGTGCTTGTCTAGCTTTCTTACGATATCCAGACGAAGCACAAGGTCCTGACCAAAAAAAAAGTAATCAAAAATATAATACTCCTCTATCTCATTCATGCATTCCATAGATTTCCAATTAAAGAAAATGAAAAAGAAAGAAAATTGGAACTGAACTTAAAATTTCAATAGTATTGCAGTATCTGATACCAAAATGTAACACATGGATATTCCCACGAAAAAATAAAAAAAAATAAAAGAAAAAGAAAAGAAAAGAACAAGTTAAACCAGCTACATTCAACAAGTTAAAAAGCAACAAATATCAGAAATTCTGTATCAGCAATCAAAGTGATAATAGACTCGATAACTCGCTAAGGTCACTACTCAGCCAAGCACATAGCTTGTAATTCAGAGTGTTCGTACGGAAATAGATAGAATTCCAACCACCCCCAAAAGACCAAAATTTCACGAATCAATATACCAACATTTGCCACCGAGCACAAACCAGTGAATAAGCACAACATATCCAAACACAGAAGCAAGACGATTACGAGCTACTTGAAGTGAAAGAAACAAGTAACTGAACCTGAGAGGCCGCTAAGCGTTGAGCGAAGCTTCTAGTGGATAGCTCGCCGACTTCACGCCTCCAGACGTCGGCGACCGCCGTGCCGAAATTCGCGTTCGATCTCCTTCCGTAAGTCATTGAATCTCTAACCCTATCAAAAAAATACTACCCAATTCCACTGACAAAAAAGCGCAGTAAAATCAAACAATTGGAAACAACAAGCCAATCATTTGTCTCTCAACCCAAATACAGTCGATAAATTGACCGGAAAAATGTGTAAATCAGTCTGGAGACTGTGTACTGCATGTGAAAATACCGAGAGATAGAGAGAAGCTCCGGTCGCCGGAGGAAGGAGGTGCAAGACGGGATTTATGGTATCGAAGCGTGGACGGCTCGGGTCGGCATTTCATATTCCAATTTTTTTTTTTTTTTTTT